GCAGCGCGCCACCGCTCCGCGCTGCTTCGCATGCAGTGTGTCAAGGCCTTAAAGGTCACCTGTCATGGCAGAAATGTGCAGGATGCTATTGCTGATGAAGTAAGTCATGGCTGTCATGGTGATGCTTCAGCTTCACTGACCAAGAATATGAATACATTTCATACATAATCATATGGTTTTCCCTAGGTGAAAACTAGGCCAATGGTGCACTTTAGGTTGGTGGGCTGAAGCAAGCCCTGGCTTCTAAAACTTGGTATACACGGTTAGAATTTCGTTGAAATAAAATAAAAAGAATTTTAGAACGTCAGTTGGATTTTCTAATAGTCGATGGGGGTCAATCGATTTTGGCCGCATTAAGAAAAAAAAAGAAAATCGAAGGAGCAGGATGGAGAATTGTTCTTGAAAGATAAAAATCCCATCAGTGAATGTGGTTTTCTTTTGGGAGACTCATTCATTCCACAATGGGAATGTTAAAACCAAATGCACTTTCAAATGACCGTCCTCATGTCTCTGATGCCTAATAAATAGAGTTTGGGATTGTTTACCTCCAGGACTAAATAAATTGGGAAATTTGTAAAATGGATAAATAGGTTTTCAAAGTTGGTTTCTATTAAAAAGTCAAGTGGCTTTGGCTGGCTCTGGTGTCCACATGGCCAAGAACCAAACCAACCGGTTCCTCGTTCGTATAGGAACCCAAGACGGCAAGCTGCAACTTTCTTCCAGAGTTGTGAACAAAGTCAGAGCTTAGAGCTTCAGAAATTCAGAAACACCATCAAACTTTACCAGTTTCCCTTGTAAACACCATGATTGGCGAATATGGTGATATAATTATCAGGAGCAACCACTACTCCCGATCATCTCTGCAGGGCCTAAGGAATCCAAGCAGAGTGTTCCTTAAGTACGTTCAGCTGCCTACAAAATAAAAAATAGGTCAACACCAGTTTATCTAAAAATAAAACGTATTCTTTTAGTTTTGGATAGAGTACGGAAGGGTTGCCTGATTAAGCAGACCCACTGGTTTCAATGCCTGGAGTAACTGACCCAAAACAAGTACTATTTCTTTATCTGCATGCTTGTTCCAGGTCAGTTATCCATAAAGTATTAAAGCTAGTACATATAGTTGCCTAATCCCCAGGCAACTACAAATTTTAGGAGGATGTCAGCAGATGCACCCTTCTCACCCCATGTTTTTCTTACTCATGTTTGGTTTACAATAAGAAAGATGGAAAGGGATTAAACTACACTCACCGGCCACTTTATTAGGCACACCTTGCTAGTACCGGGTTGGAACCCCTTTTGCCTTCAGAACTTCCTTTAATTCTTCGTGGCATAGATTCAACATGGTGTTGGAAACATTCCTCAGAGATTTTGGTCCATATTGACATGATAGCATTACGGGCCCAAAGTGTGCCAAGAAAATATCCCCCACACCATTACACCACCAGCCTGAACCATTGATACAAGGCAGGATGGATCCACGCTTTCATGTTGTTTATGCCAAATTCTGACCCGACCATCTGAATGCCCCAGCTGAAAGCGAGACCCATCAGGCCAGGCAACGTTTTTCCAATCTTCTATTGTCCAATTTTGGTGAGCCTGTGCGAATTGTAGCCTTCGTTTCCTGTGTGTTAGCGGACAGGAGTGGCACCCGGTGTGGTCTTCTGCTGCTGTATCCCATCTGCTTCAAGGTTCAATGTGTTCAGAGATGATCTTCTGCATACCTCGGGTGTAACAAGTGGTTATTTGAGTTACTGTTGCCTTTCTATCATCTGGGACCCATTCTCCTCTGACCTCAACAAGGCATTTTCCTTCACATAACTGCCGCTCACTGGATATGTTCTCTTTTTCTGACCATTTTCTGTAAACCAGAGAGATGGTTGTGCGTGAAAATCCCAGTAGATCAATACTCAGACCAGCCCGTCTGGTACCAACAACCATGCCGTGTTCAAGGTCAGTCAAATGCCCTTTCTTCCCCATTCTGATGCTCGGTTTGAACTTCAGCAAGTCGTCTTTACCACGTCTAGATGCCTAAATGCATTGAGTTGCTGGCATGTGATTGGCTGATTAGCGATTTGTGTTACCAAGCAATTGAACAGGCGTACCTAATAAAGTGGCCGGAGAGTGTGAATCTCTCGTATTGCAAACTGCACATAGGTTTTCAATAGCATCTTAAAGCAGAACTATGGCCTCCCATTAAAATAAATAGGTGCTGCAGCACTTAACTGTAAGTGTATCTGCATTTATTTATTAGTCCCCCTGAAAAGGCCCACAAATACCTGTTGACCCTGCCAGTGAAGTTCACCTAATGCAGCTTCCTGTGATGGGGTGGCAACAGTGCTGCACTGCTCTTGAATTCAGAGCAGAGTTGTCATTCTCATGCAGGCTGGGCCTGATTGCACTACAGTGGGATGAGAAGATGTTGAAGTGGCTTGGCTAACAGCATTGTCATTGCTGATTCACAAGTCTGAAGGTCGTCAGTCAGCACCTAAACAACACCTAGTCCCACCCATTGCTTTCGGGGTGACAGCACTGCCTCTGTTGCTGAAACCCTCCCACTGTGAGCTGCAGTGTCTGGGAGGGGGAGCTTGTGAGATAAAAATAGAGGATTTGGCTCAGTCAGGGCAGTCAAGGGTGATTTTTAAATGTTCACTTTGTGTGCATCACATAGTAACTGGATTCATGACTTGATTAATCTTTCATACAGGAGCCTTTAGTTGTATTTTCAAAGAAACCACACAGACCGAACATGGAGGGGAAAAAAAAAACTTTATTTTTTGTGACATTTCTAAAAGTTACAACTTTTGCAAAAAAAACAAAAATGGTCTTTGGCATATACTGAGAAAACATCTCAAGGGAACAGTTTTCGCTCCCCAAACAGTTACCTCCATTCCACGCGCTCCCAAAAATATAAAACCAAAAGAAATACAAAAATCTCGGTCTACTATATATACATCATTCCACCCTAAGCATATATTTGGCAAAAGACACTATAAATAACAGTTTCCAAAGATTTCACATCTCCATCGCATTGCAGATCTCTGTGCTGTATAAGCTGACTCTTGAAACGTTTAGAAGCTGTCCCTTCAAAGACATTTCCATGATGAAACCGGAAAAACGTTCTTTTATTCTTCTGTTTTGTGACTGGTTGCTGACAGCTCAGATAAAGGTGAACAGGTGGGAGCTTTTTCTTGCCCGAAACATATGTCAGTTTTGCATGGATTCCAGCAGGGTTCATCTCCCACTGGCTTCATAAGGACTCCAAGAGGCAGGTCCGCACCCAAGTTCCCAAAGCAGGCCCATCTACAGCAACCATTATCAACAGGTCCCGCTCTCACTATTGGATTTGGCATTTATTTTACATTACATAGAGTACAGCAGGAAGACGGAGAGTCATTTTCTTGGCTTATAATAGCCACAGCAAGGAGCAGATTAGGTAACTGCAGATGGAAGAATCTTGCAGCTTGAGCCCCAGAGCAATTCTAAAAGCCAGTGTGTGATCCGACCCATCAGAATCCAGCCCTAGCAGAAATGAAGGGTACTGGTTGGACTAAGCCATTAGGGCTCAACTGTTTCAAAAGACAACTTTACCACGAGCGAAAAAAATCCCTGGCTTCTTCTAAAACCCATTGACAGAACACTTATCTACACCATTTGTTTAATACACATGCTTAACAATCTATGTTAACATGATACAGTCTTGGCACAACCACCGTCCTGCACAGAGGGCCTGTGTGTTAATTGTCACATTACCAGTCCTCAGTTACCAGGCTGCCTAACACAACAGACTCATGAGAATTTTACCTAAGGTGACTCGAGCTTAGAGAATGTGCCTATATCCCATATATCTAGAGGAGGTGGGGCTTCCTGAGAGGGGTGGGGCTTACCACCAAGGTAAAGCACAGTGCAACAGCTGCATTAGGTGGCACAGTGTGGGTATAGTCAATGCAAAGTTGAGCTGAAGTCACAGTCACCCCTAGCAAGCAAACTGATTGTCCTATAACGAAGATAAGTGGTTACTATAGGAGACTTTGCCTTGTTGAGTAAGCAAGTTAATGTAATCCTGAGCATGCATTATTAATGCAAAACAAGGCTGATATATGGATGAAAGCATAATGGAAGTGTAGACCTTGCTGGCCATTGTAACCAATCAAATGCTCCCTTTCATGTTTCCAGCCCAGTATGGCAGAATGAGAGGGAAAACCTGATAAGCTGACAGGAGCAGCGGCGTAACAGCTGCTATGGGGCCTGGGGATGGAAGGGGGCCCAATTAGGGTTGCTGAAGTTGCTGTAGACACTGCCCCTGTAATCCCTGTTACATTTCCAATCAAGAAGAGCTGACATCAGATGTACAAGAGGAAACAGCTCTCCTGTTACCTAACTTGAATATCATTGACAATAGGAAGGTCACCAATGGGCCCCAGCAAAATTTTGCTATGGGGCTCCACGATCTACAGTTTCGCCCCTGGCAAGGAGCAACAGGAACGGAGCTGGTGATCCTTCCAACAAGATTACGCATTGGGCCCTTGACGCTTTAGTATCAGCATTCCTGTAGTAGCAGCAGAAATTGAATCTTAAAAGGCAGAATGTCCAAAATAGACCAACAATATCCAGTAAGAGCACACTGGACTGCTCCACTGACCTGGTAATGAGGACTGATAATGACAAAGACACCCCTACGGATTAGAGGCATACAGTATTATATTAGTCAGCACTGCCACTTCCCCAGAAACTATTAAACACTGCTGTTACCAAAGGCACAATGTGGTTCATGCCTCAGCAACATTACTAGTTCCTGGTGAACTGATTGATAGTTCATCCACAAATTATCTGCCTCTTCTGATCATTTTGTAGGCCATCTGGCTGTATTACTTAAAGGGCAGGCAAGTTGAATCTCAGTCCACGTACATCTCTCAGAGACAATCTAAAGAGCAATTTGCAGTTCCCAGCTCCGCCCCCTACACCCATTAGATAACACTTTGTGAGATTTCTCAAAGGCGTTGAGAATGAATGAGATGAAGGTATGTTGGAGAAAGAGCCCGGTGAACCTGCTGTGCAGCCGCTGAGAGACATAGGAAGCTAGTTACAAATTCAACCTGCCAACACCTACCCAAAAACTTGAAATACCAAGCACGGCTGGCGTGATCCTTTAAGGCTTTGCACCATCCCATTCAGTTATCTTCTACTAAACGTACCGCATTACTTCCGCTTCCAAAACCTTGTCCTCTTAAGCCATTCATTTCATAATCCTTTCATTTCCTCGATATAGAAGTGTCAGAATATGATCCCATGGTCCCATCTGCTCCGGATAGGAAACCATTGGAATTTGGTTTCCATTGTGTATCTTTATAAAATTTAGGGAGGAGGCACCGAAAGACCAGTCTTTTCTCTAATAAGCAAACAAGATCATTTTACTGTACAGCTACAATAACAATCTCTATATCTGATATATATACTTAAAGAAAAAAAAATAAGAATACATAATATATATATATGTATATAGAGAGAGATGTTTAGATCTCTCGCTCTGCTACAGTCCCAGAAAAAAATTTCATATAAAAAACAAAAAGGCACTTGTGTCTTGGCCAATGGAAATAAAACAGGAGCCTCCTTTAAAAAAGGGTCGCCCACCCACGTCCTATGACTGGCAGTCTTGTTTAGTCCAACCCGCATATCCAGCCCAAAGGAAACACCAAGACGGAAGTTTTGGCATGGAGTTGCTATCGTCCTTGGTGAACATGAAGTGATGAACGGGCAGATTGTGGCAAGATGTCACCTGTGGATATAAAAATCAGTTACTTAAATAGATATAAACCCAATCAGTAAACTCATCCAAAAAAAAAAGCATCTAGATATTGATGTTATGTCTCCCGGTGACATCATTAGCACATGCGCAGTTCATCGCTTATTCACGGCATCCTGGCCACGCCAAGCAGTCAAGAGCGTCCGGCATAGGCGCTGACTTTCGCAATCTTTGCTTCCTAAAACCCCACGTGACTAGTGACATCACAGTTTAGAAATAAACTAAGAACCCCATTTCTAAAGGATATCAAACGCTCCAAGGACCTCGATTTGTTCCCTTACCCTGTGTGCTGGTATAGGCTGCTCTACCCCGCGCGCTTGCCAAAGCCGACGCCATCTTGTATGCGTCTCAGCGTTAACTTCCCCTATCCCCTCTTCCGCCCTCCACTGACATAATAAACAAATACCGCACATATGCTGAGAAAAAAGGAACAGTTAACTTCCTGAACCCCCTTGTGATGTCACTAGTCCATCCTGTCCGTGTATGAGTACGGACACCTGCACAGATGTGCAATTCGGGTGCGCATACGGCGGTGTACTCCCATGGAGAAGAACAGGCTGCTGCGTGCAATCACACGCAGCACCTGTCCTTCGTGGGAGCGGCCCGATACGGCCGCGCACGCAGCACAGATCTGTACGGGCCGGCTCTTTGTAGTGTGAATGAGGCCTAAAACCCCTCATTAACCCTTTGCCCCGTTCTTGGTTTACTTAATTACCAAGATTCTGCTCACTAACCTGTTTCATGTAAAACTACTTTGTGATACAGGGAATTTGGCGACTGTCCCTTGCAGGTGTAGATAATCCTCTTCTATCAACTGCGAAACAAAGAACAAGAGTTATCCAGTGATAAAGAAAATGCTAGGAAATACTTACTGAAAGTCCAATTCAACTGAAACAGATATTTCACAATTTTATGCAGGCAAAGTAATCCTAGAGCACACCGAGCAACAATACTATTCCACGGGCTTAAAACTTAAAAGACGGCCCTCATCTGCTTCATGCATACTCGGTGCATCTTTTAACCACTTGCTGCCCAGAGCAATTTCTCACATTTGCACACACATGATAAAATCAGAATTTGTGGCTAGAAAACGGCTTCAAACCCCCCAAATAATGATATCTTTTCTGAGAGCAGAGGCCCTGTAGAATAAAAAAGATGCTAGTTGGAATTTCTTTGCACCGTATTTGTGCAAAGGTTTATCAAACAGGTATTTTTAGGATAAAATACACTAAAATTAAACTTAGTGCACAGAAACAGAATACAATGCCCAATTTTTGGGTAAAATATAAAAGATGGGGTCATGTCGGGTAAATAGATACAAAACATGTCAAGCCTTAAAATTGCGTGCGTCCGTGAAAGAGCAAAAAGCTACAATAAGCAAAATTTCCCATAGGTGACGCTTTAAACACTTTTACGGCTCATCAGTTTAGCGTTAACAGTGATTGATGGGCTTAGAATTATTGCTCTCACTCCGACGCTCACAATGATATATATAAAATGTGCAGGACAATTTTTGTTTTTGCACGTAGGCGCATTCGACGCGTGTTTGCGATGTATATGCGGGGGACTTTAAAAAACATTTTTGCATTTTCTTATGTTACTTTTTTTAACACTCAGTTGTATTGCTATGGCATAGGGGGCCAACAAGCCCCCCTATGTAATAGCACATTTTATGCAACAGGTCCTCTTTATGGAGACACCGGGGGCCTTTCAGACCCCTAATGTCACCTAGGGACACCAAAGAAGCTGATGAAGCAGAGATCTGCTTCATCAGCTTTCCCTTCTGGCTCTAAGAGCCGGAGACTGTGTACAGTGACACCGGAAGTGATGTAATGCACATCACTTCCGGGTCCAGTGATCGGAGGAGAGATGCAACAGCCGTGTTCTTGGTATAATCACTTCCAGCGAATGACGTACAATTACATGAACCCGCGGAAAGTGGCTAAACACAAGCCCAGAATTTCTATCAAAAGTCGCCGGTGTGCACAGTACAAAACAAGAACACGCACCTTGAGTTGGTAGACTTTCTTTTCCAGTAGTAGGATGTGAGTTCTAACCTCATCTGATTGCTCCTGAGATAGTACGATGGGGGCGCACATAAACTCTCCAACATCTCTGGAGGCCAGGTCTTGACCTGTACAGAGGAGATATGAGATGTTAAAACTTGCTCACTCCCATTTACCGATCTGTAACCAAGCCATGTTACCACAACTAAAGCCAAACTCCAGACACAGAACAGCTCCTGTGCAAGCAACGTGGCACCATAGCTTGCTCTTTTGTAAATTTGTTAGCTTCTTTATATATTTTTCAGTGTTTCCCACTTGAATTAAGGCAGCACTGGCCTTTTCCTCTCTAGGCTCTACAACCCCCGTGAAAAGGAGATGGATCATCATGACCAAAAGAAGCTTACCAGTGCTTAGATGTGGTGGCAGTATTCATTTTCTTTACAGGAGAATTATGAGGCGAGTGATTTTCACTCAGCCTCATAATCTGAGCCGACCTGTGACAATGAAACTGTCACAGGTCGGCTCAGTAAATCGGGAAGTGAGCGAACACATACCGTCGCTCACTCACTTCTCGATCTATCCCTGCAGAGAGCCGTGACTGTCACTCACGGCTTCCTGCAGGGATTCCCCCCCTCCCCTGTCCGATCCTGCAGCGCTGACTGGCGGAACGGACTGGGGAGGGTGCGGGTACAGATGGTTCTGCCTCTAGATAGGCAGAGCCAGCTGTCACTCATGCAGCTGGGTGGATCCAGACAGTATTGTCGGGATCCGTTCCGGCTGCGGAGTTACTGAGCTTTGGGTCACGGGAGGACGCTAGTTTGTGTTCTCCCGTGACCCTTAGGAGAACTATGGGGAAAAGCCCTGACCACATAGTTCTCCTCTAAGGTCTTCTTTCACCTTTATTTTCATCTGCTGATCCTGCCAGTAACACTTCCTGTCCTAAGGTGACAACACTGAACTGTATGTATGAAGGAGCAGTGCAGTCATCCTTGGATGAGAAGTGTTAGGACTACATAATACCTAGGACTCCTTTGGAAGTGCAGCAGAGGCACTGTTTTGTCAGCTTACTATGAGAAGTTGCAAAGTCTGGCAGGATCAACAGGTATTTTTTTTTTTTTTGCAGTTATCAAACAGATATATAAAAACAATGCCAGTCATATAGTGATACATAAAAAACAGACCAAAAGGGAGTAAATAAGAGCTATACCAATAGCTATACCATGACCTCATAGCATCCCGCCTGTTTCAAGAGGTGAATATTTAAGCTGTGTCTGGAAGAAGGCCAATTGTGTCTATGTAAAACATGGCCAACTTTGAAGTCTAAAACAGTTAGTTGTAAAAGACATCATAATTGCAACCCAAAGCAAAATCTTACGGCTTCAAGCTATTAAGAAGCCCGCCGATAGACCGATACACGTGAAGTGCTCACCGTTCTCTCCTGGGTCTTTGCCTTCTCGCTCAGACTCTGGAACAAAGTCATCTCCCTCCTGATCTCCATTGGCAGGCTTTTCTTCAGGTGCATTTTGAGATCCTGCAGTTTCTTCGGATAAACTCACCAGGTTTGGGAACGAATCTGCATCTATGCTGAGGCGGATGTTACGTACTAGCATCCTCTTCAGCACCGACACTGAGAGGAGGTAAAGAAGAGAATAAGTAAGGGTGAACTACTTTCCAAACTGGAATATCAGGTAATTGAAAGCAAAATGAGTGAGGGCAGTTCCTGGAATCATCACCCACCCAACATGGAGATACAATGAGAGCAGTTCTCTGAATCATCAACCACCCAACACAGAGATGCAATGGGGACAGTTCTCTGAATCATCAACCACCCAACACAGAGATGCAATGAGAGCAGTTCTCTAAATTATCAACCACCCAACACAGAGATGCAATGGGGACAGTTCTCTGAATCATCAACCACCCAACACAGAGATGCAATGGGGGCAGTTCTCTAAATTATCAACCACCCAACACAGAGATGCAATGGGGGCAGTTCTCTAAATTATCAACCACCCAACACAGAGATGCAATGGGGGCAGTTCTCTGAATCATCAACCACCCAACACGGAGATGCAATGGGGACAGTCCTTTAAATCATCAGCCACTCAACACGGAGATGCAATGGGGGCAGTTCTCTAAATTATCAACCACCCAACACAGAGATGCAATGGGGACAGTCCTCTAAATCATCAGCCACTCAACACGGAGATGCAATGAGAACATATCTCTGAATCATCAACCACCCACCACACAGATGCAATGGGGGCATTTCTCTGAACCATAAACCACCAAACATGGAACTTACACAGGATTTGACTCCTGGCTCCTGGTGGGGGAACAGGGGGAGGAAGAACACAGCAAAGGTTTGTATAAGGGGGTCATAGAGTAGACAAGCAAGAGACTCTGTCACTTTGCCCTGGATGGAATGACCACAATGGAGGGGATACGCTTGTAACAATGTGACAATAGTAAAGTGCTAATTTTTACACGTGCTGCCCTTCCACTCTAAGAAAGGGAGGTAACTGTGATAACTGATTGCTCTGGGTTATTTCGACAGCTCTTCATTTTTATATCAATCTATCACAAAGTTCATGGTGAAAATTTAAGCCATGTGTCCAACTTACCCACTTCCAGAGCTTCATTGGCTACATTCCCTCCCAAATTGTGGCCCAGATGTTCCATAAGGGCTGTAGGGTCCCCAAGACTCTCCTGTCCTAAAACAGCTTCCTCCAAAGACTCTTTTTCTGTAACGACAAGGAAAAGGCTTAATGAACATGGCCTATAAAATAAGGTTTATACAGCAGCCTTTCTCAACCAGGGTTTCTGGGAACACTAGGGTTCCTCCATATGATATTAGTGGGACCTTGAATAATGCATGGATTGCTTTCCAACCCACACTGACCATCACTATAAGGGGGCAATGTTCCTCTTCCAGTCCTCATCCACTCGAAGGGGTCACTTCTACAATGACCATCAATGTAAGGTGACAATTTTCCAATGACTGCCAAATAAAGAGGGCACTACACTGACCAATAGTGTGAGGGGTTGCTAAGCTTTTCACAGTCTGTGTTTCTTTTTGTGGCCAATATTATTATTTGCTTTATTTTATGACTATTATTTAAAACGGTGTAGTCATATAAAGCAGGAGTATCTGGCATCATAGAGTATGATGCCAGATACTCTAGATAGCCCAAATTCGTTATTCTTCTATATAACCTACTGATCACACTAATATACCATGAACTGTAGATGTAATAATTATGTAGCAGGGGGTCCCTGAGAGCTGAAAATTATTTCAAGGAGTTCCTTCAGGGGAAAAGGGATGAGAAAGGCTGTCATGAGCAAATATTATGGGTTACAGTGTACTGGAAGGTAAAAAGTGGAATAAAAAATAAAAAAAAGCCCAAAAACCTCAAGTAGATTGTTTTCACACACCAGAAATGTCAATAAGAAATTATTTTATTAATAAAAGTTAATAAAATCCACTTAGATGTTATACTTTTAATTTCATAAAGAACAACTTCACTTAGAACCCTAATCTAGCCCAGACATTCCACCCCCCACCCCCACGTAGGTGCGTAAGCACCATAATAGAAGCAGCCTCTTCCAGTGTTACCATTCCGGGGCCCAAAAGCTTCTTCTTCTCTAGCCATGCTCGCACGGTATCTCCCAACAGACTTGAATGCGGCCATACGTGAAGTGTCTCTACTATGTGTTCACATCTAGGAGGAAGCTACTGTGCAGATGCAGCTAGTGCTGGAGAAGAGTTTAAGATGCAGGGTGTACTTAATGTTCACCTTCAATCTGGGGATGTCCCCATCAATACTTCCCTTCTGCCACTAGATGTTTTCAGTCATCGGGGTTGAATGACAGCCAGAATCATTCAACCCACATCTGTGATGGATCGGGGGGTTTCATTATGAAGCCTGGGCCCCAAAAACTACCTAATGGTGCAGTAGTAAAGACCCAGCCCCTGGAGGCAGGGCAAGACCTATGCTAACATTGGCCTTGCCAAAGAACCCTTGGAGAAAGAGAGAGAGAAAAGAGAGAGAGAGAGAGAAGAGGAGAGAGAAGAGAAGAGGAGAGAGAAGAGGAGAGAGAGAGAAAAGAGAGAAGAGAAGAAAAGAGAGAGAGAGAAGAGAAGAAAAGAGAGAGAAGAGGAGTGAGAGAGAGAGAGAGAAGAGAAGAAAAGAGAGAAGAGAGTGAGAGAGAGAGAGAGAAGAGAGAGAAGAGAGAGAGAGAGAGAGAGAAGAAAAGAGAGAGAAGAGGAGAGAGTGTGAGAGAGAGAGAGAGAAGAGAAGAAAAGAGAGAGTGAGAGAGAGAGAAGAGGGGAGAGAAGAGAAGAAAAGAGAGAGAAGAGGAGAGAGGGTGAGAGAGAGAGAGAGAGAGAGAGAGAAGAGAAGAAAAGAGAGAGTGAGAGAGAGAGAAGAGGGGAGAGAAGAGAAGAAAAGAGAGAGAAGAGGAGAGAGAAGAGGAGAGAGAGAGAGAGAGAGAGAGAAGAGCAGAGAAGAGGAGAGAGAGAGAGAATTTGTTTTTTCAGGTGCAATCCCGGCCTGGCCAAAGACTCCAAACCGGAATTCTTTTCCCAGGAAAAATGAACCAAGAAGATAAAAGCACCGGTCATGGAGGGGAGTGCGGACATCACAGCCAGTGCTGCAGGGGAACACTTTGCTAGGCGAGTCTGCCATAATATACTGTGCATACTCGTACATTATGGCAAAAAGCTCCCGGGGTTCCCAAAATTCTTTATTTGGTCCGGTGATTAGGTTCCGCCTTATGTACACTGTAAGAAAAACGCACGGGGCTGCCACTAAGGACAAATATTAATTAATCTATTAATATTAATAGATGACCTGATAAAAAAAGTCAGTGAGAGTATTTAGTTCTAATTTGCCATTTCTTACCATCTTTAGTAACAGACTCTTTCAGGGAAGCTCCATTCTCACTAAATCTGCAAAATAAAACATGGAAGATTAACACAGAATGAACAAGACCACCAACACAGGGGTAGACAAACTCTAGCTATGGTAAAACTACTAAATCCATCATGTGCCTGCCTCTAGGAGTCATGCCCGTTACTGTCAGAGTCTTGCGATGCCTAATGGGATTTGTAGTTAAACCGCAGCTGGAAAGCCGGAGTTTGCTTACCCCGGTCTCTTTAAAGAATGGTTATATCCTTGTGAAGTGCACTTAATGCATCTTACGTTTCAATGAACAGAACATTCTGATCTGGATCTTTTTTTTCTGTCCAGCCAGTCTTGAGATTCACACACACCTGCACCACACTACATAGCCAGGAAGATCACTCTACAGTTTCCTAGCTGAGCTTTACAGCTTCCTGGGTTACCTGTATGCTCACTGGACAATGAATGAGCAGTGTGATCATGCTGATTCATTGTCAAATGAGCAGGTTGGAAGTGTAGAGGTGACATGGGAAACTACCAATCTGTACCAGGAACACAGTAGTGTTATCTGCCTGTATGGTGTAGTAAGCACTGTGTAAATGTGGACGCTATTACAGGTAAAACAGTACACATAGATAGAATGCAAAACTGTATTTAGCAATTTTCCTGGAGTTTACTAGTAAGCCACTCCCCTCTTTATTCCAGACCCTCCCACTTCAGCATTAAACCCCCCTACTTTTACAAGGTGTGGATCACTGTTGCAAGGTGTGTCAAGGTCTTTTACATCCATTAGTCAGTCCTACTGTGTCTCGCCATTACTGTTTGTCAACTCTGTGTCCATCAGGGCTAGTCATCCATCATCAGTTTTCACAAGCTACTTTTAGTTGAACAGATCTTCATAGCCACCCAGGACACCCCATGAATGTTTGAGCCATATGGAAAATGTTTATTTCGTAAACATTGTTTCCTTGAACACTTAATAAAGCTGACCCATACTAAACGCTAAAGTGAACCTTGTGCTTTGACCACACAGGGCACAGAAACAGGTTGACTTAGCCCTTGTCAGCAGTGCACACTGCCCCCTCTTTCGCTTACCCTCTATTTAGCCACCATGACTACAAAGAGAGCCCTATAAGTCGCCGGTGTCAAAGCTCCAACAGGTCTATAGACTACCCATGTGACAGTAGGGATTTTCCCAATCCTGTCTCGCGGAGTGATTCACATGCTCCTTCATACGTGGAAGCACCAAGTATTTCCTTTGGCTCCCGGCACTCAGTGTCATGGGAATGGAAGAAAGGTTAGTACAGTATATGTTTTTTGAGGCCTGGGCAATTAAAGCACATCTATTGCTTTGCCCTGGTTGGTGTAACTCAAGCCCTCAATTTAGAATTAAAGGGTTCAACCGGGAGATAGGCGACTGTTAGGGCCCATTCACACAACTGAGCTGTGGTACAGCATGACAGTGTACTTTGCTGCCATTTATACTCAACGATACCCCTATGCACCTTCACAGTGCACTGCAACCAATAATAACACATTATAATGCATTGCAGTGCACTAGAAAAGAGCCGGCGTGTCTGATTTTTGGTCCATTGTGGCGCGTCAGGCAACCCATTTACAAGGGTTAAAAGTACCGCAATCAACTGCCCTGGTGTCAAACGGCCCTTTTCCCTGCCTGTGGATCTGTAGATTATGTGGCCGCGAAACTGCGGGGGGCGGGGGGCAGATTATTCCATCTATAATGCATGCCATGAATTTTGCATGCATAAAGAATACAAGACAAGTTTATCAGGTTGACAGCAGACTTACTCTGAGGGGCTCTGTGGGATCATGCGTGGATTAGTAAAAGAAGGTCTTGGATTGCGTGAAGCAGGTTCAAAATGTCCAGTATTCTGTTTGACTAGAGAAAACCACCTGTACGAAGAGAGAGAATGAATGTTATTTTGCTGCGATTATGGCATACTAACAAACTCCTATTACCAGGTATAGCTTTCCGTACTGTTCAGTGTCTAAACAGCAACCCCCCCCCCCCTTTTCTACGAACATGTCATGAGATCAACAGCACTGTACACCGCAGCAAAGTCTGCTTGGCACAGAGAGCAGAACCTCCCACTAGAAGTCTGATTTCTGCTTTATAGCAGATTGTGGAAAATTATTTAAAGTTACAGATTTGCTATCTTATATAGGAGAATTAACTGTTATTGTGCCTATGCAGCACCCTGAAAATGTACCTTTTGTCTGGAATTCCTCCAGAAAAATAGCAGTGCACTTCCTGGCAGGCGAGGCACCCCTGTACCTAGAACCTCATAGCTTTATATCTGTAGTGTCAGATCCAAAGCCCTGCTCTGACTCCTAGCCTCAGGAGACATTTAGTGACATTTGACTACGTCACTACTGTGCTGCTTATTGTTGTCCTTGCTGAAGGCACTGACGTCAGGAAGCAAAGCCTTGCCTCGACCAAGATGGCCACCTCCACTGAGAAACACAGTGCAGAACAGTGCATGGTAACGGGAAAAATATCAGCTGCAGGGAGACCATAGGCAATGCTAGTGACTAGTCCTCTGTCTGCCTATTTTTTGGGCACATCATCCAGAGTCCAGCTCCTCTTTAGATGTCAGGAAGTTATACTAGCAGATTTTAAATGTAAACGTAACTGGACTTCAAGTAAGGTTACAAGGAAATAAACGGTGATTGGTCCAGAGAAGTTACTACGTCTGGAGGGAGGCTGGGGATGCTAAAAAATGTTGTGGTGAGCTTCCACCACTCAGACTGAAAATCACAGCCAGTGTACACTGAAGGAAGTCACTCACTATCCCCTTAGTTCCCACTTCATCCATTTACAAAAACCCTTGTATTCTGAATACAAGGCATTCCGTGAAAGGACAAAGGGAGATTCTGTGATTTCCCTGCCTCCTCCTCTCCCCTCATGCATGCACAGAAAGTCTTCTATTTAGTGAAAAGAATACAATGCTTTTTGTCATCAGGAAAATAGAATGCATATGGCACTATCAACAGGCTTAAAGTGGACTTTTGCTAAACATCACATCAGCATGTAGCTCTGCATACTGATATGAAATCTTCCTACATTCAATAGTTAAACATATTTTTATTATACCTACAGGTCTTTTTCTTCCTACTTCCTGGTTCTCTTTGGCACAAATGATGTAATCGTGCCCAAGTGTTGCATCCTGGGAAGGTTATATCAGCAGAGCATTGCTGGGAAATCTCATCTGTAATCACAGGAGATCTCAGGGAAGGCATTTTCTTCCCCTGAGATGATGTGCATGGTCACATGTCCTAGTCACGTGTGCCAGAGTTCCAGGAAGTAAAGGGAAATGGATTAATCTGCCCTTAGTAAAAATGGCCACTGTGAGAAGAATGGGGAGGAAAAGAAAAAAAAAAGGTATGCAAAGAATACAAAGCCGGCAGTTATCTAGAAGTATGTGTTTGTAGATTGTCAATACTAAACATTTCTAAAAGGTGTCGTTGATGTTATTTTGAAGATATGGTTAAAGTTCCTCTTTAGAGTGGACCTATCTGCCCCCCACCCCAAAAAAGCAATCAAAAGCTTACCTTCCCCCTATGTACTTACATGTTTTTCTCAGATATGGTAGGAGCCACCAGTTCATAGATCTGTGGTCTGTCCTCCCATTTGAATATGACAAAGAAGGCTTTGTTATCTGCAATGAGACCAGATATTACAGTGTTAGCAAACTGTAACTGTGTGCCATTGTTCCTCAAGCAGGGTCCCTCCTAAAGTTACAAAAGGGTTCCTCAAAGAATGGTGAACTCATCTACCTACACGGACCACCAATTATCCAGTGACCACCCATGCAAGGCATTCTACCCTGACCACTGATGTTAGACTGTGCTGCAATTTTTATTGTTTGCTTTTCCTCTCTGTTGCAGTTATTCATTTAAAAGGAGAACTATGGGGTTAAGGCTTTTCCCCACAGTTCTCCTTAGGGTAACGGGAGGACACAAACTAGCATCCTCCCGTCTCCCTAGGCTCAGTATACCGCGAGCTGTAGCTCACGGTATGCTCACGGTATACTGAGACGCTGCAGCTGAAGCGGATCCCGACAATTGTGCTGGGATCCGCCCAGCTGCGTGAGTGACAGCTGGCTCTGCCTATCTAGAGGCAGAGCCAGCTGTACCCGCCCCCTCCCCCGTTCCTCCAGTCAGCGCTGGCGGATCAGAGCGGGGGGAATCCAGCCCCTCCCCTGTCGAGAGGTGAGCGAACGCCGGTATGTGTTCGCTCACCTCCCGATCTACTGAGCCGACCTGTGACAGTCTCATTGTCACAGGTCGGCTAGAACTATGAGGTGAGTGAAAAGCACTCACCTCATAGTTCTCCTTTAATTTGGACATTGCTGAGAATTATTTTGGAGGGGAGTATTAAAATGTTATCCACAAACACGGGTGTCAAATATGCCTATAGGTACAATGCATTACCTATTCTTTTATTGAAAACGTTCTACGATTGATGGATCACGCCAATCTACCATGGGCTGAAAGTATAATCATTTTTAGCAGGGGTCCCCTGAGACTTTAAGAGATCCCCAGGGGTTGAGAAAGGTTTGTGTACATTATGTAGGTTATTCACAAAGCTGCCGAGGTCAGCCGAGTGAATAACTCAGTGAAAGTGAGCTGAACAACGTTCGTAAAATCGGCTGAGCCGAAGTGCAGAAGGACTTCGACTTAGCCGATCCAACATCTTGAACGGCTGAGCCAAAGCTCTGGCAGCTCACTCGCTGCCATTCGCCTCTCATATTCTCAATAGCCGGCATTCTGCTCGGTACCTCCGTAGTACAGTGCAGAATAGCAAATCAATGAAAATAGTAAAAAAAAGTTGAAAAAATAATTTTAAAATGTAAATAAATAAAAAAAAAAAGTTTGTTTAAAAATAGAAAAAAAAACTATTGGTAGGAGCTAGCTCCGCCCAACTGTTTCCTATTGGCCAGCACCTGCTAGAGCCTTGTAGCAGGTCCCGGCCACCGAACAACTGGGCAGAGCCAGCCGTGACAGTCGAGCCTAAGCAAATGCCTTCGGCTCGGCTGAGCTGCTCGACCGCCTTCGGCTGCTATAGGGCTATAGTGAATAGCCCGTACGGCAGCCCTTTGGTTCGACTGAACCGAAGGGCTCCAGGGGCCGAAGAGAGCCGAAGGAGCAGCCGCAGCTACGGCTGGAACCTTCGGCTCCCTTGTGAATTGCCCCCTATGTGTTTGAAGCTTTTGTATGGTGGAGGGATGAACAAAAAATGCATGGAAGCGCACAACTGTAATATGGTCAAGTTTCTCACTTGCTAACTATATGGAAAATGGTGTGCAAAAACTCTTCAACAACCGGGAGAGGAGCCCCGTGTAACGTGTTTGGCAAAATTATACATAGAAGAGCGCAACAACCTAAAAAATTGTTTAGATGCTAAGCATCCTGTAATGACTAGCTGTTTAAATAAATTGGTTGATATATAACTCACGGTTGTGATGTCATAGATGGACATGCACTCCCTGCAGTCCCGTGCGGTCAGCGAAGTGTTTCTGGATGGAAAGATCTGGACAGTCAAGACCTAAATAGTCTAAGATCTAAATAAACCCCAAGTCTCTCCAGGCTGCGTCCTCGGCTGGCCGGGCCGAGCCGCGGCTAGTAGAGCAGGAGGGGGAGGACTGTCAGGCTGCTGTGATCGGCACTGGGCGGTGTGTAGCCGTATGGTGTGCAGCGTAAACGATGGAGCGTGTTCGTCAGTGCTCGTGAGTCCGGGGTGATGTGTTCAAGTGAGATCAGTTGGCAATTGGCGGCTACGCGTTTCGAGGGTGACCCTCTTTGTCAAGCCTTGGAGCGGTGTCAGCCGCGGGATAATGCGTACATTTGAAACTGACAGGGGGGAGGAGTCAGATCCGAAAGAATGCCGTGATAGGGTTAGACGTCGGGAAGTGAATCAACAGTCTCGAGGGCACTTCGGGGTTGATTGGTCAGAAACCTTTCTATCTCAGTTACCTGTGTACTCTTCTAGTTCTGCATTGACTATTATCACAGGTTAACATTAGGACCTGTACTATACTGACTAATAGAGAGCTTTCATCATGTCGTAAATGGCAAAGCCTAGTTTTGAAGAGGATTAAAATATCACGTTTATTTAAAATTGAGTAAAAATGAAATAAATAACAATAAAAAATGAATAAAAATTAAGTGAAGAATTAATAAGATAAAAACATTTTTGGACTAAAAATTAATTTCATACGGAGTAGATATGAGGGGGAGACTACATATAGCTCCACGATTGTTCAGGGGTGACCCTCTACTTCCATTCAAAGTGTTGGGGGTAGTGATCAAAGGACAGCAGGTGACTTCAACGTTAATTTATGGCAGTATTCCTGTTGTTATAATGAAGCATTTCTCCATGTGTGTGCAACATGACATTTGGTCTGGATGTTGCCACGCCGTTTTAGATGTATCTATAGCCTACATCACAGGACTGGAAGACCTAAAATGTTATTATGTTATAAAGAATGGGGGTGTGCTAGAGAATGGTGTGTATCTCAATTTCTTCATTCAACCCATTGGGTGTCAGGGTATTGAGTTTAAAAATCCAGAATGTTTCTCTTCTGCAGAGTGTATGGAAACGTTCTGATGGAGATAAGTGTGTGGGGATGTGTTCAATTGCAAATACCCTCAGGTCTTGGATCCTTTTTTGATGTTTAATGGAAAAGTGTCTTGGGATTCTGTGTTCCAGGTCTCCTTTGGCAATAAGCCACCTATGGTCCCCAATCCTAGCCCGTAATGGGCGTATGGTGCAGCCAATATACATCAACCCACAGGGGCAGGTAAGCCCGTAGACCACATGGTCATGGGAGCATGTGATGAACTGCTTAATGTGATGTACCTTTTTAAGATGGTCAAAAAACTGGGACTGTCCGTGTTGGATAAACTGACACGTGAGACATCTGGGCTTTTTACATTGGAAGATGCCCACCCGATTGTCGAATAGAAAATGTTTGGGTGTATCCCCTGGTGCTTGAAAAGACCTACTTGGTCCCACCCGATTTTTTACACTTCTTGTTTTTCTAAAGTTAATTGAGGGCTTGGGAGGTAATCTGGGGCCTAATCTGGGATCCTTCTGTAAGATGTGCCAGTGTTTATTCACCACCTTTTGAATGGCTGTAAAACTGTTGTTGAAAGTGGTAATACATCTGATATCTTCATTAGTGTGGTTCTCAGTACTGCGATCCTTATTTCTCTCCACATTGGGTTTGGGGTTAGAGTAACCGGAAGAGGCCTCAGTAATGAGTTCCTCCGGGTACTCTTTATCCCTGAATTTCTCCAAGAGAAGATGGCTTGAAGTAATATAGTCGCCATCTAGTGTACAATTCCTTTTTAGCCTGCAGAATTGGCTTTTTGGTATGTTCTTTTTCCACCGGGGGTGGTGGCAACTCTTATAATGTAAATACGAGTTTCCTCCCGTTGGTTTAACATGATTGCTGGTAACTATTTTCTGTTCTATGGAATACAGCTCGAGATCAAGAAACACTAATCTGGTGTTACTGACCTCGTGCGTAAAGGACAGACCGAAATGATTGTTGTTGCAATAGGCCACAAATTCTGAAACACTTTCTGGGGGGCCGTCCCAGATGATTATTATGTCATCTATATATCTGCCATAATAAATAAGTCTCCTGGCAAAAGGATTGTGTTCCCAGATGTATGAGGCCTCCCAATGGCCCATAGTCAAATTGGCATAACTGGGGGCATAATTAGCCCCCATTGCTGTCCCTTGGGTTTGCAGATAGAACTTACCCAAAAACGAGAAATAGTTGTGCGTTAACGTAAATTCAGTGCAATTTATCAAAAACTGAGCTTGATTATAGTTAATCGATGATTGTCCCAAGAAAAATAGTAAGGCATTGATTGGTCAAAAAACTGGGACTGTCCGTGTTGGATAAACTGACACGTGAGACATCTGGGCTTTTTACATTGGAAGATGCCCACCCGATTGTCGAATAGAAAATGTTTGGGTGTATCCCCTGGTGCTTGAAAAGACCTACTTGGTCCCACCCGATTTTTTACACTTCTTGTTTTTCTAAAGTTAATTGAGGGCTTGGGAGGTAATCTGGGGCCTAATCTGGGATCCTTCTGTAAGATGTGCCAGTGTTTATTCACCACCTTTTGAATGGCTGTAAAACTGTTGTTGAAAGTGGTAATACATCTGATATCTTCATTAGTGTGGTTCTCAGTACTGCGATCCTTATTTCTCTCCACATTGGGTTTGGGGTTAGAGTAACCGGAAAAGGCCTCAGTAATGAGTTCCTCCGGGTACTCTTTATCCCTGAATTTCTCCAAGAGAAGATGGCTTGAAGTAATATAGTCGCCATCTAGTGTACAATTCCTTTTTAGCCTGCAGAATTGGCTTTTGGGTATGTTCTTTTTCCACCGGGGGTGGTGGCAACTCTTATAATGTAAATACGAGTTTCCTCCCGTTGGTTTAACATGATTGCTGGTAACTATTTTCTGTTCTATGGAATACAGCTCGAGATCAAGAAACACTAATCTGGTGTTACTGACCTCGTGCGTAAAGGACAGACCGAAATGATTGTTGTTGCAATATGCCACAAATTCTGAAACACTTTCTGGGGGGCCGTCCCAGATGATTATTATGTCATCTATATATCTGCCATAATAAATAAGTCTCCTGGCAAAAGGATTGTGTTCCAGATGTATGAGGCCTCCCAATGGCCCATAGTCAAATTAGCATAACTGGGGGCATAATTGGCCCCCATTGCTGTCCCTTTGGTTTGCAGATAGAACTTACCCAGAAACGAGATGGGTATGGTGGAGGGAGCCATCTTAAAAAATAAACCATGCTCAATAGTATGCATATGGCATGAACTAATATATTTACAATTACATTTGTGTTATTTATTTTTAGGTTTTCTTCAAACCTTCCTTATTTTTAAATGGGGCCTTTCCAGGTTATCTCCTCAAAAAGCACACTGTACCCTGGTGATCTTTGATCTCTGTCATGTTGTTCAGGTAGATCTCCACCACTCCAGGGTTGCCTACCCCTTGGTCAGATTGTGATCACTGTCAGTATCTTCCTTTCCCAGTGACACCCATTTCTCTCATTTTGTTGTCCTGGTGTCACAAGGACAGGAAGTGAGGAATTTCCCTCCAATGGGGGTTGCAGTCAGCAGTAACACCATCACTGAGGTTCTTACCCTTCCCAGCTCTATCAGAAACATAAATTCCTGGGGTTGGAATTTAAGATGCTTACCAGTAGCCACTTCTCGAGCCATTGCCGTATGCAGCTTAATGATCGGACTCAGCATCAGCTTCCCATCAGGCGTTGGGGTGAGCGTCCGACTTTGGCACTTCAAGACTAAACGGTCATCCTGCTTCTGCAGCAGCATCATGATGTCATCCAGCAGCAGGACGTGAACCTCTGTTGAATAAGAATGCTAGGGTTAAGGGTGATGAGAAGGTAAAGGAAAGGACCACGTACACTATATGGGCCTATTCACTAAAAGGTGCCTATACACAGTGTGTGTGGGGCTGTCGGCTCCCTCTTAGCCGCCATTCCTCGATCAGCTGATCGAAGGAGCCGGCTGGGAAATCTTTGCACGATCAGAGCCGACAGCCAACGAGCTGCCCGCTCTGATTGGGTATTCTGACAGATACCGGCAGCACCTGTCAGAATACAAACAGCAGCAATTCCTCGATTGACACGTTGTTTGTATTGATAGAGGAATCGCCTCAATTTCTTTCATTCAGCCCGCGGGTTGAACGAAAAAATTTGCCACGTGTATGGCCAGCCTTAGACAGAGCAGACGGCAATGCTTAACCCTTTTGCTGCCACAGCCGTTTTTGCACATGTTATCATCTGCATTTTAGGCCTGAGAGCTACTTAAACCCCCAGAATTAATGTTTCCTGAAAGCACAGATTCTGTAGAATAAAATGGCGGCAGTTTATTTTAAGTCGCATGATATTAGCGCTAAAATGTCCAATTTCAGTAAAAATTTAATTTAGGCCCGGTTCACACCTGGGCGTTTTGTAGCGCGTTCGAACGCTCTGCAAAACGCTCAAACACCGAAATCCCATTATTTCCTATGGGTATGGTTCACACCTGGGCGTATTACAGGTCGTATGAACCCACTACAAAACGCCCTACGCCCAAAGAAGTACAGGAGCTTCTTTGGGGCGTTTTTGTTGCGTGTTTCCATTGGGATACAGCCAAGTAGCCCCTTCCTAAACGCGCGTTTGTCGCGCTTTTTTTCTACCGCGAAACGCGGTAAACACGCACGTCACGAAACGCATATTTAATACGCCTAGGTGTGAGCCCAGCCTTAAGGTAATTTTGTGCACAAAAACACAATATATTACCCAATATTTTTTATTTTTTTGTGTAAAATATAAAAAATTAGGTTGTGCAGAATAAATAGATACCCAATAAGCTAAAAAGTGAAAAAATATGGCACCCCAAAATGTCCATATGCGATGCTTTAAAAGCCTGTACAGGTCATCGTTTATAGTTATCAATGAATATTGGCCCTAGAATGATTGTTCTGATACCCAACATGTTTTTGACGCAATCGTCATTTTCGTAAGTAGGCGCACCCGATGCCTTGCATTCATTTATATGTGTACATGAGGACGGTGAACTATACTTTTTTTTTTCTTTTAGGAGGGGTTCTTTAAGCCTGAAAATTACTTCAAATCCCCAAACATTATATCTTTTCTGAAAGCCAAGACCCTGTAGAATAAAATGATGGCAGTTACAAATTTTTATGTTGCACGATTATAGCACAACTTATTATTAAACCCAATAATTTAGTGAAAAATGCACTTGTTAAATTTAGAGCCCCAAAATACAGGAAATTACCGATTCATTTAGATAATATAAATGAAGAGGTTACAACGAGTAAACAGATACCCAACATGACCAGGTTAAAAATTGCGTGCCTCTGTGAAACGGCATCAAACTTCAGTACCCCAAAAAGTTAATAGACGACACTACAGGTCATTTTTAAAATACGCATAAATATTGGCCCTGGAATTATTGCTCTCACTCCGGCGTGCACAGCGGTACCAAACATGTATAGCGCGATCATAATTTTTGTACGTAGGCGCACCCAACGTGTGTTTACGCTTACGTGACCTTTTTTCATTATTATTACATTTATTTTATTCAATATTATTTTTAAAAACTGTTATTAGTCTTTATTTTTTTTACTTTAATTGCGATCACATAGGGGGGCTTACAAGCCCCCTATGTGATAGCGTATAGGTTGTGGCAGGTCCTCTTTAAGGCGATGCTGGGGGTCCAAAAGACCCCAGTGTCACCGTTACACTCTAAATAAGCAATTGAAGTGCGGATCACACTTCAATAGCTTATTGCTGGGCTTCAGGAGCCGAGCAACGACAGCTCAGGGACCGGAAGTGATGTAATCTGCATTTCTCCCGGTCTCATAGAATGGGGAGGAGATCGGTGAACGGACAATCGCCGCTCTCCTCCCCAGCTTCCTGCCGACACCCGTGTTTCCCGGGCATCGGAGCCCGGGAAACACGGCGGGGGGGTCGGGGGGGGGTGGCGGCCC